AACATCAAAGTCTTTCTCTTGACACGAAATTAATTTCCTCCCCGCACTGGTTAACACCTCCCTTCCAACTCCCCCTACCCTGCTTTAGTACGCTCAAGCGCTCTCGCAGGCGTTTGAAGTCATGCTGGTGAAACGTGCGAAGAAAAGGGACCAACGATTTACGGGGAATTTTGAGAGAAGCGACCATGGCTAGCCCCTCATTGATGTATATGCGAGCCGTGCGAGCAGCGGCCCACCTACCCAACACTATGATCCGGTCTAAGGATCCGTGCCGGCCAAACCAACAGGTAGCCCCGCCCCGTCGTAAACTGTACGGGCGGAACTCGAATTGCTCTAAGTTCAAGGCACTTATACACTCAGAGAATTTCTTTCGCCATTGGTGCGGCGCAGGGGTAAGGGGGCAGCGCGAGGAGGACGCATTCTTCCATGCCCAAAGCCACTGAAGGGCACAGGTGACCGAAATGGTAACACTCTCAGAGGCACCAGCACGCTTTCCCGACTTAGTCAGGCCCAACGAGATCACTGCAGGTTTATCGGGAGATGTCATTAAAATGTGGTGGTTGCACAATCCCAGAATCTCCCCTGTGCGCAGCAAACCGTAGAAGCCCAAACACAAGCTCAAGCCAAAGGCGAATTCCTCATGAAAAAGGCACCATCCAAGCATGGCCTGCAGACATTCCTCCGGGAGAGGGGGTGCGCGGCTAGGTATTTCATTGACGTGCCACGTCTTCAGCAACCTCCATGTCACCTGAAGTTGACCCTTCAACCGCGGCTCCGTGTCCTGAAAACCAGCGACCGTGTCACTTGCCAAGGCGCGACCCACACTCCAGAGGTGTTCAACGTAGTCGGCCAACATATCATCGAAGGCAGAGAACTTGGTGGGTATACTCAAACCATTTGCATGGGCGTAGTCATAGAACTTTTGCTTTGCTAGGCTGTAGCGTTTTCTAGTTTGCGGTTGCACGGTCAGTTCACGAAGGGTTCCTAATGCTTGTCGGTTCTTTGCTCTTTCTTCCTTGCTATGGCCCTCCAAATGCTGCTTCACTTTCCCCATTTCCGCTGAAGGGGCCGCCGGCTAGGCCGGTCGGCTGGGTTTTGAGCAGTATGCACGTAACCCCAGATGGGGTGGAGGTCCGCAGCAAGGATTAAAGAGTTGATCCGCATCAAAACATGCCTCAACTTTTTGGAAGAGCTTCGACCACGCGACAAGCTATGCAAACACACCAAACTGTCCGTCAAGTGCAGAAAGCGCTTACGATGTCCATTCCGACGAATCACCAGCCACCTCAATGTAGTCAGGATGGCCCGAAGCTCAAGCACATTGATGTGCTCACCCGAATGGCGCCACTGCCACCCTGTAACTTCACGCCATCGCCACAACTTGGCCGGCACACTAGAACGCAAACGGTGGAACTTGACCTGGGGCTCACTGACTGCTGTGACCATGAGATCTTCGCCCTTCATTGACACTAACCCGAGCAACTTCAACAACAAAGGTTTCTCAAGGGTCTCAACCAATGTCCGGTTCGTTGACAACGGCGGGCGAAGTAGGATTCCCTGCAACGAGCCACTCCGACCTGGCGTCAAGTAGTCCACAAGCTGTTGAAGGCCTTGCCGTCGACAGAAACCCAAAGGGCCAAGCAACTGCTCCAGCAGCCACGTGATGACTCCTACATGCCAGGAGTTACCGATCAATGTCAATCGAGTATCTTCCCAAAGCGTTCCGGTCTGTTGATTCTTCGGGAGACAAGGTCGGGTATATCCAACCGGAATGCACATGATGGCCTCCCTCTCCTGGATATTCGGCCTCCGCGCCGCTCCTTTCCGGGTCCAGACAAGGTTGTGGTCACGATATTGGTATGGTGGGAAGCGGTAGCTGTCATCTTCCCAACGCTGTCTCTCGTGTGGGGCGCAACGACCCAACCCGGCCGGTCTGAATCCCGGCTGTTCACGCGGCCGTGAAGTGGTAAAGGTCGGAAGTTTGAAGCCTTCTGTGACGTACCATCCCTGCTCCAAAAATGCCTGTTCATCCACGTGCGCCTTCAACTCCACAACGCCACAACCGGCCCACTCAGGGCCACCACTTACGGGAGGGGTGATCTTGACTCCCTCCCCCTCTGTCAAGTCCCAGTCAACCCAATACAGTCGAGGTCGATGACACAAACTGATGCCTCCAGAATCAACCCGGTACGGCTGCAGCCCAACGGCGGCACTCATGACGCAGCGGTCTTGTTCCGACATTGAAGCTACAGATTCCATCAACAACCTCACCTGGGCCCAAGGAAAATGGATCTTGAAGAGCTCCTTTATGCGGGGTACCTCCTGAAAGAGACAGCTCCGGGCGTCACGCAAGGCCCCTTTCTTCGAGGCATTGAGATTGCTCACTCCCTGACACGGTGGTCCAGCGCCCATGAGGACGAGCGACACTGAGGGAAAGCGCAACGCAAGACTTCTGACCAACTCCTCGTCCACCGTGGTGACATCATCGTGGAAGATGGTATCAGGAAAGAAAGCTTCGACCACGCGTCGTCCTGTTCCTTCTTTCTCAACGCTCAGGTGTCCGGCCACGCCCACGCCCAAGCTGTCTACCGCTAGCCTCAGCGCCCCCAAACCATCGAAAAGCCCAACCGTCAACACTTGCAGAGTCTCCCCTTCTTGCGGGAGATCGCCCCTACTCTCCGTGTTCAAAGCCGCCACGCCATACCCAGTAAGTCCTTCACTCACACACACTCCGCCCCCCGGATGTGGAGGCGTCACTGCAGGTGACATGGTCCATGAAAGGGCACTGGAAGTCAATCTGGGCCAGTGGAGTCAACAAGGTAAAGGTCAGCAACTCTCTCTGGACTCCCACAGGGACCGGGAGCCTCACCACGGGCGGTAGCTTCTTGAGCTTCTCCATGAATTTCCATACCTCGTTCAGGATCCCCAACAACGGTCTCCGAAACATGGTGAAGTACACGAAGCCGCCACATACCACCTGAAGCTCCTTCAAGGTACAACAACCACGGTCGACCAACATCACCGCCAGCCGGCAATACAATGTAACCTTGCCTGCCTTGGGCTGAGCAAACCCCTCAACCCCGTCGATGATTGCACCTTGTATCTCCGCGACCGGAGCCCGGACTACAGCTTTGTTTGGATGCCGAGGGATACCTTGTGAGGCGTACTGCTCTCTGAGGTCTTGCACTGCTTGGGCCACCCGCCCACGTACTGTGTCTGGTGTGGCGGGGTCAAATCGCTCCACGAGATCAAAATTGTCAAGGTAGACGCGATACTGGTTTCTGGCCCCACTACTGACACGATCCTTTCGCATCTCACATTCTCCTCCAAGCACCTTGTTGGCCTGCTGACTCCAGGTGACAATATTCCTATGTACGTGTTGTGCGATAGACACGCTATTGAGGAATCCCATGGGCAACACGCACGAGGTAAGCACACAAGGACGATCGCGCCACGCTTCAGGCACCAAGGATCGGGGTACAAGACGATTGAATCCAAGGAAGCGTTTCCACGAACTTGGAACCCTGAACAGATAAAAGAAACAACGCACATCTTCGGAACTGATCAGAGCCATCTCCCCATCGTCCAAAAGGAAAGACCCAAAACTACTAATATTCGGGAGAGTTGCGACGTCTCCCACAAGTGCTTCACACAGTTGGTTGAGTGGCACCAAATTCATAATTAGTCGCTGAGTCTCAATGTTGTCCACATACTCTCCCTTTCCAACCCCAAACATCCCGTTCAGGAGAGGCACCTGGTCGATGTGGAACAGCTGGTCGGTGGGGATGACTTCGCAGATCTTCTTCGTGATCAGACCCTCACAAATGGCGGGCCAATCATCCCCCACCATGACCCTGGGGGCACGTGGGCATGAGAGGTTGGTGGTGTCAATCACATGGTCCTCGAAGTGGTCGATATAGTAAAGGGTCCCCTGGGTACAGAAATCCCTCAAGTCCAAACGGCCTACTTCGTCAGGTAAAGAACTTCGCACACCTTCCCATGTCAAAGTCTGAGCAACTCGCACTTCCTCACCATCATAAGTCACCCCCCGCTTGGCAAAGAAGTCCCTAAAGTCGAGGGGTTCTAGAACTTCATCCCAAACCTTGAAGCGGTCGCAAAGCTTCCCCAAGTTTTCCACAATCCCCTGAGGCTCTCTCTTGGGCGGTGGTCCTTCTCCTCTGCCGCAGGCAAGCATGTTAAGGCCATATACCATATCTGCACATGCTGAATCAGATTTGGTCCCTGGCTGCAGGGGTAGAGGTAATGGAAAGAAATCTTCCGATGTCGAACTAGGGTCCTCTACCGAGTTCTGCATGCGCTCCGATCCAACCTCATGTAGCTTAGACCTGGCCAGGGACATAACTTGCCTGAAGCTGCTGGGTGAAACTTTGCTCTGTACAGCCGACTTCAACTTGCAACCGCTCCCCTGGCTCTCTCGGGAGCGCTCTTCCATGCCGACTGCAATGCCGTGGTCTTCAGCCCCTTGGGCCGGCATTTGGCTGTAGGCAGCATCTCGACCCAAGCCTGAGTTGCCGCCTGTCTCAACTCCCTCAGCGCGGGAGTGCGTAGCTGAATTCTGCCAAAAATCATTGTCTCGTAGTGTTGTCGTAGGTCCTGCGACGTCTGCCAACGCTGCCTGACCAGGAAGGGGCCCTCCGCCCCCGTGAAACTCGTAATGCTCAACCAGGTCTCCACTATGTCCATCTGCACATTGCTCATCCACCGGGAGAAGGCCTGATCGTTTGCGGCCCCCTCCCTCCTGTTTTGCTGACTTGTCCTCCTCAATGACACCTTTCACTCCTTGTCGCCCTTGTCGTCCTTCTTCTTGCCGTCGCCTTTTCGTGGCCCTCTGTCCTTGTTCTTCCCATCGCCTTTTCCTTTGTCTCTCTTCCCTTTGTCTTTTCCTTTGCCTCCTTTGAAGGAATCCCGATCGTCCCAATACCACCTGTTTGTATTGCGCTTCATGACCCGGTCCTCGACCTGCAACTCTCGTCCGGCCGCACCGGCCTCTGGCACGCTCACGAGGCTCGGGCGCTCTGGACCCACCAACTCCAGCCTCCTGGCGATGTCGATGGTGGTGCCGCGGGACATGGCCTCGAGGGCTTTTAGCCTTTGTCCGGCTACGTCCAGCGCAGACGCGATGCGTCCTCGCAAACTGAGGTCGATGATGGTGGCCAGGTGGAGCGACTCCCTGGCTAGGGCTGCTCCCATCTGCTGTTGCAAATGCGAACGAAAATACTGGGTCGCCACAGGAGCCACTGCTCCTTCCTCGACCGGGCGGTTGGTGTAGCCATGTGCTGTGATCATCTGTTCTTGCATATCCAGTATAGTCGCATTCAACAATGCCCCTGGCCCACGACGCCATATCTGTAGGGACCGCCTCTCGCTCTCGAAGAGTTCGGAGCCTGCTATGTGCTTCTCCGCCAAGCTGGAAGTCTCGCTCGATCCCCCTGAGTCTGCACCCGAGGATCCCTTGCTCCTTGACCGGGAGGATCTCTTCTTCTTTTTCCTCCCCCTTCGTATCTTGCGTGCTTTCTTCATGAGCTCGCGCCTGATCTCGATGTCCGGGTCCAAGGCCGTGTTCTTGAAGACTTCCCTGACACCTGCTTCCAACTGCACCTTCACTTTTGCCTTGCGTTTTCTTCCCTTCTTCACCTGCTTCTCCTCCTCGGCCTCCCTTTTCCCCTCGGGAGGAACCACATTCTCGGGAGAGTACTGCAACTCTCCCTCTCTTGCCCTTTCTCCCATTTCTTCTCGGAGACGATGAAGAGGATCGTCCCCTCCTCCGCCAACTACTCTCTCTCGGGGGGCTTCGGCGAGGTTCGTGTGCCAACCTTCTGCCTCCCCCTCTGGAACGTGGTAACGGCGGCCGTGGATCAAATCCCTCGACCAAACCAGGCGATCGCAAGGATCGGGGCAGATGTGTACACGCACTTCCTGACACTTTCCTCCGAGCTCCTTCAACAAAGACTCCTGCTGAGTCCCTGTAACCCAGATTCGCCAGGTAGTGCTCCCGTCGCTCACCACAACTCCTCGAACTTCGCCTGCGATCACGACCGGGGCTTCCCAGAACAAGCCTTCTATGACCACCCTTTGTCTCTTGTGAAGAGTGTCCAATGCAATCTTGTTCAACATCTCCCAAACGGGCTCCTTCCGACCGGGAGACTCCGGTGCCTCCCTCCTCGCCGGGCGTCGCAAAACGCCCCCCCGAATCCGCATAGGTTCCACCGCGGGCCTCCGACGCGGCGGCATGGATGCTACCAATAACCACGTTCATATTCACGCCACAGGCGGAAATTGGCGTTCCGCTCGTCTTTCTTCTTTCCCTTGTTGGGTGGAGGGTCACCGTAACCCTTGGACTTGGCCCTGACGTTGGTGGCTTCCCAGCTGGAATAACCTGGGGGTGGATGATCAGGTTCTCTTGGGGTTGGTCGAACCGGAGGTGGTTTGGGCGGCGGTGGCACGGCCCGTTTCTGGGCGTTGGTAAGGCCTGAGGCACGGGATGGCACTGGTGTCCAGGGGGCTCGGAGCACGGGACTCCGGCTTTGGGACTTGGCCCTTGGCTTTGGCTCCTTCCTCTCACGGCCTGATTCCTTCGGGGGTGAATGGTCTCCACCTCCGTCCTGCTGCGGGCTTGTTGGTCTACTGGACCTTCTTCGGGCTCTGCGTTGGCGACTGCGGGAGCGACGTTCTGCTCCCTCTGAGGCCCTAGCTTCCTTGTCTCTGCGATCTCGACGACGGCGATCTCGGGATTTTGACTCTTTCCGGCGACTCCTCTTCTCCTTCTTTCCGGTGACAGGAGAATTGTCTTTGGTCTCGGTGTTCTCCTTCTCAATCTCGGTGTCCTTCAAGTCAGTCTCTCGCAATGCACTCTCAACGACCTCCTCGGCCTTCTTCTCAACGACAGGACTGCTCCCACTCTCCTCTGCGGTGTCCACGACGGGAGCAAATCCCTCCTCCGGCTTGGGCTGATCCTGGTTGTTGTTGAGCTCGGTCTTCACCTTCTGGCTGGTAGTTTTGTCTCCCTCACCCGGGAGAACAGATCCGCTTTCAACGGGAGGAACAGAGGTGGCAGCCCCTGTATCCGCAACGTCCAAGAGTTGCGAGTAAACCTCCCTCAAAAGTGTCACGCCCCTCCTCTGGACCGCACCTGAGCAGTCCGGAGCGTAGAGTAGCCCAACGACCCTACGGACAGTTAAGCAGAGCGCGCAGTTGCACGACTCCCACTCATGCACCATCCGCTGAGCCGAGAGGCTGCGGAATTCAAACCGACGGGTGGTTCTTCCTTAAATTCGGGGCGAAAGTCATATGTATTAAGTATATATAATAGTATAGTGTGTATATATATTATAGTATATACATAATTACTATTCCTTAATTGGACCAAGCCTCCAACCCCTGTTTGGGCAGTATCAAAACACCTTCTTACACCTTTCTTATCTTTCTTGGTTCTTCGTGCTCAGACCATTCACGAAAATCCACGACAATCCATGGTGAAAAGGAGACATCGACAGGGACAAGCATCGACAAGGGTAGTGAAGGGGCAAGAGGTTTCCGCTTAAGGAAAGAAATCCCAATCTCTTGAAAGAAAGGTTATCTGGGAAGTGGCATACCTCCAAGGAGGTAGGAATATAGAAGAAGAACATGTAAGCCGTAAGCTAGTGGTCAACTGATTTGCTGCAAAGTAGGTGGGTCTGTTTTCCCCAGTTCATGATGTTCCCAAGACAGAAAAGGTTCCTGATGTCCTGAAACATGGCGGTAACAGTGCAAAAAATCTTTGAAGTTTGAAGCAGCGTTTTCACACACAAACAGAAAACCATCGACGACCCATGACTGGTGTTCGTGGTCCCTCTGACTGGTTTGCTGCATTCGGCCCATCTCTGCGAGCCGTTTCTTTCCTCCAGCTTCCTTTCTGGGCCTTCTTGCAAAGGCTTTCCTTGCCTCGGCGAACGTGACGATCTTTGTGGGTGACCACGTTGAACAGGTGACTAGAACAGGTGACTGTTCCCAAGTGACTAGGAATGTTCGAGAGCACCTCATGTGGCGCCCTACGCACATGGTAGTACTCATGGCAGTATATGATTAGTTGTCAATGCAGTTATCCAATGAACCCCAGTTGAATCACTGAGTTTCTCCATTCCTTCTGCCCCTTTCCACGGGGCTTGCGGGTGTTTCTTCAAATCTTCAGTGAGAAACACAAGATTCGCACCACCAAAAAGCACCTGTGAATCGCCGGTAACCTGCGCCGAGCAATAGAAGATGGCTCCGTGAAAGCAAGAGACGAAAGCAAGGTTCATGCATTTCAGAGATCCAGATCATGTCCAAACAGAGTGATAACGGTTCTTTGCATCACCAAAGCAATCCCCTGCCTCTGTTTTTCTGCCCACCCTCTCGTCGCACCGACCCCGCTTGCCAGTGAGCAAGTCCATTTGGATTGGCAAGACTTCAGGGCATTGTGCGCCGCATGCTCCGACCGAACACTCTGGCCGACGGTCCGAGACAATGGCCAGCTCCATCCGCATGGTGGGTCTGGGGCATGGTGCGAAGCACCGCCTAGATTCGACCAGTATCTGGATCTCATGTGGCTAATGGTTTTTGCACCTACTGCTCAAAGGCACCTCTCACCCTAGAACTGCTCCTTGGTAATCTCATACCCACCAATAAGCCTCTTCATCCTGCAATCAAGCTGCAAGTCTTTTCAGCATGGAAGCGCCAACGATCGATCTTCTCCTTCACCGGCACGTCACTCTTGCCACATTTCACCGTCGGCGGATGTGGCTTGTCTTTGAACTGGGCGTCGGCGGTGTGACGGTGTGCGGCCCAAGGCGAACGGAATCCATAGGTACGGGGGTGAGAAAACAACGTGTGAGAACTACCTAGAGAGGTTGAACAGCTCTGTGTCGCCCCATATATGTACCACCAAAAAGGCTTCGATAGTTCAGGTCTCTCAACCTCTCTTGGTAAGTCAAAAAGAGAAATGTCGCAGTTCACTCCCCTTCCCGGCGCCAACCAACAGAACTGTCCGCTACGTCCTGGCACGCTTGGACTATCCTGCGGATCTACCGACACCTTTTCGGTTGATCCGCAGGATTTTACGGATTAAACCGCTGGAGTTCAACATGACACAAGCAAGAAGAGGGATCTTGGAAAAAAATAACGTGTTTGTAGAGGAAAGTTGTCTTCCAGAGGCCCATGTTCTACTTCCACGTGATGTTTTCGTCCGAGCGTAAGGATTTCAACTACGGCTGAGCCCTGCATCTGCCACACCTAGGGTTTGGAGAACTCAAGGATCGGCAGACTTTCCTGAATCCACAGTGATGCCCTAGGACTTCGGATCAGTACCTCTGTATGATCAGCATGACGAGTGCAATGTCTATGGTCGCTCATGATTTACACCCAAGCACTGTCTCACTTGGTGGAAAACACGGGAAAGAGATCACATTCCACAAGCACACCCATCTTTATCTGCTTGTCACTGTGAAAATCCATCCTGGATGTGCGGGATCTTCGCTTCACAAACTGCTTCTACTTGCCTTCCACCACAACCCCCCAAGAGCAGTTTGCAGGTCCCTGCCCCGCAGGGAGACCAGAAACCAACCCAAGAAGGACGACAAGACAGTCGCGCGTCGCGGCCTTTCCATCGGACGAGCAGCCACCGGATTGAGGTCTTGGACGGAGCAAATATGAACGTTGTGGCGCTTCGTCCTGGCCTTCGTCCATCATAGCGAAGCGCTCAGCTTGCCGATGCGATGCTGGAACGAGGCGAACTCAACCGCTCGAGATGAGCGATGCGTGCGTGCTTCGAAGGTCGATGAAACTCGTCTTCCGCAGCGTTTGTTCCAGTTTGAGCCGCATTGGTTTGCAGCTTGAAAGGAACACTGAAGCCTGGAATACAGTCATGTAGTTGACCGATGGGCCACGTCAGTGGCAATCGTCCCCGGTGCATGTTGTTCTTTTTAATGTTGGATCAAAGTCGTGTCAAAATGTCTGGTCAAGCAAATCATGTGATTCATCTACAGCGGCACCCGTTTCTTCGTTGAAAAGAATAAGAGCAAGGTTGGCCTGGTTTGTAATCTAAAACCCACAACAAGTGGTTGTTCAATCAAAACCCTTCAATCCATCATGGGCCTTGCTTGCCCGGGTCAGCGAGTTTCGTGCCATCAAATCCATCCAGGTCGCAGTGACCCTTGTAGGGTTTCGTGCCATCAAATCCTCCACCTTGTCGTAGTAGACACAGGCCACCTTGATCCGATCTCTGTGCAGCGTGTGGTTCCGGTTTTGGGGGCAGATGCCTATGCCGCTGCCTCTGTGGTTTGTCACTGGTCAGATCGCAGCATGGCAAGAAACAGCCAGAAATGTAGCTTTCCCAAGCTCTGTAGCATCCAGAGCTGGAGACTTTGCGGACTGGGGAAGTGTTGAATCAAACACTCTACTCTACACTCTAGTCCCAGTCTGGTGTGGTGCACAGCTTTTTTGATCAAAGCCCGGTGTGGGCCTGGGGGGTCAAAAAGTGAGGCTTGCCTACATGAATCAAATCCAACCATTCAGATCCATTAAGGAACTTTGTAAACTAAGGGGTGTCTAATCTCTCTATTCATAGACCCTTCAAGGTTAAGGGGTGTCTATTAACCTCCCCTTGTGGCTCCTGATATGAGCTGTTTATGCTCATTGTAGAACTTTCACCATTTTCGCTCTTCAGCAACGTGCGACATCGTGCGACCGGGCCTAAATCCTCGTGCGGACCTCTTCCGTGGCGTTGGACCGACGTGATGTGGGTCATCAGACCGTGGGCTCTCCCCGACCGGTTGACCACCCGTCAAATGGACAGACAGCAGGGCTTTTGTCCCGGGTGACCTTTGGACCGCCACGGTCAGACGGCACAACGAAGCCATGTGGCACCACGGTCAGTCGTTTGGTTTAGTTCTTTGCTTTCGAAGCAGTGGGTCAGACTTGCCTTGGCATTTCGTAGAGTTTCCACTCATCCAGACAGTTTCGCAAAAAAATTGTGTATTGATTCTCGATTGAGTTTCAGTTCAGTTTCAGCATAGTATGCTGCGTACCGCAACAACAGACCGCAACAACTGGTGCCACCTCTCCCACCTGTCCCACGGTGTTCGGCCCATCGAATCTGAATGATGGACTTCGTCCTTGTCCAATCGCGGTCCAAGCAACAAAGCGGTCCAGCTTGCTGGAATAAGCAAAATACTTGGCGCATCCCTCCTGGGTGATCTCTTGTTTCGGCACCCTGAGCGACGTGTAAGAAATTCGGTCGAGTGTCTCAGCGACCAAACGTGCAGCGACCAACCAGCGACCAACTGGGAATTGAGAATCTGGATCCGTTCAATACCTAGAACCGGCAATAATAGTACGCCCTTAGGCAGGAACGCCGAGACGCACGGGCTTTGGCCACCTTTACCCATAGGCAGACATTTCTGCCCGAGAAGAGGTTCTATAGGTATAGTTCATGTCCTTTTCTTGATTCGCTCCCCTGCTCTGATGTGGTTGGTGCTCATGCCTCAACCACGAGGACGGGGTGACACCGCGGTCCATACCGTGACACTCTTCAACACCCCCCTAACGAGGTGAAGGCATTTGCTCACATCAAATCAGGAGATGACAACGCATGACTGTGGGGATGGAGTCACTCGGAGGGCCGGAAGAATTTTCCGGTTCACTGGGCTGAAGAGCAGGTTTCAGTGCTTGTTTCAAGCAGTACCTGACGAAAAGTGGCTCACACCCAGTTCTGACCCCACCTCCCCTGTGGTCGTCGCAGCGTCCGTCCCACTCTTCGGCTCGCATCCATCCCGCCCAGGGTCCCGGCACACAAACGTCCCACTCGCTGGTGCCTTGTCCAACCCAACCTGCACATGAGAGGGCATGCATTTGGCTGCGCTGCCAGACATCTTAGACCAGAGTTGGGGTGGGAGAACAAAGCCAAACCGCGAGAGACTGTGGCGTGGCTGAGAGGGTCGAGCGAGAAAGTTGAGAAGGGACATTGAAATTGCACCGTTCAATCCCGCTAGCGATGGCCTCCAACGCTAGTATGTGTGAAGGGTCTTTTATTGTGGACACTATGCCTCACAAATCACAACGACAAAATTCCCTTGTTAAACGGCATGCTAATTACAACTTGCTCGGTCAGTGCACAAGGTCGGTTCATCACACTATCACCAGTGTTAAGGATGCTGCTCCTAATCAGCAGACCTGCACCCCGCCCATGGAAGAATGAACAATAATATACATGCCTTAATGTGGTCATAGGATTGATAAACGATAGTTTGGTCCAGTCTCGGGGCCTCCAATAATAAACGCCTTTCACAAATACATGTTTTCAATACCAACTGCCTTCCACCCTCCCTTCCGCCAATCCCTCATCCTATGGTACCTCAAACCTTGTTGACCTTCCATGTGGGGGGCTCAGAACTCCAATAGTTTTTGGCCATAATTCTTTCCATCTCCTTGAAGTCCCCATCTGGCAGCTCATTCACCTGCAATTCTTCGCCCTCATTGAGAACCTCCTTGCTACCCCAAATCACCCAGAATCCCAAAACCACTCCCAGAAAATCCTGTATAACACTCTTTGTAAAGACCCTACCCTATCCCAAGAAGTACTCGTTCAAGCTCCCAAAGGGGGTCCCCATAAACCCTCGATTCATAACCCCAAAAAAGAATTGGTCTCTCCCCGGCCTTGGAAAAAGCATATCCCATAGTCTATGAATTGCCTAATCAATCAATTACTGCAATCAATTCACCACCAAAAATACTTTCCATGATGAGATTTAGCCTTTGGGGCCTATCCTCATGAGGAGATTTAGTCTCTGATTGACCCCCCAGTTAAAGTAGAATTGCACTTTTCTGACCCCTCCCAAATAGCAAACCTTACCCGGTCTTTACATGAATACCCGCCCCGGACTGGACGTTGGGGATCAAATTGGGGTCCATAATGGTCGATAAACACTGCGTCGGTAGCTAAGCACTGAGCCGTCTTTGCCGCTTCTTTGCCACTTCACGACGGTTTTATTCGGAAATCCCAACCCGACGGCTGTCCCCACCTGTTTTGACAAAGGCCCTGCCATCACAGGCACCTGACGATCAGGAAGACTGTACCCACACACTTTCAAGCCTTGCTTTTCTGTGTCGTTGATCCGTTTCATGATCTCCCCACCAGGCTTTTGGAGGACTTCTTTTTATGCCAGCTCAACCGACCCGTGGGATGTTCGAAACAAATTGTAGCAGAAGCCAAGCCACACAAGGGCTTTGAGGACCCCAATGTTTCATTAAAATCAAACCCGCTGGCGGGAGGGTGTTTCATGACTTGGATGGAGGAATCCTCTAAAATCCCACAGAAAAGGGATAAAAGGGGTCTCCCTATGATTTTTGTTGCACAATCTTCAGATCTGCGTTGCCAACTGCTCGTAGGAAGACACAGGCGCTCTCATGGTAATCATTGTTGCTTTTTTGCTCTGAATGCGTTTCCCCTTCTTCGGGTTCTTACTGATCCTGCAGAGTCCAAATTCGACATTCGGCAAGCCTGCAAATTTCGCTGTGATCCTTATTCATCCTTCCCTGATCTCACGTGATTCTCAATTCTCAATGATTTTGGAGGTCAAAGGTGTTCAACTCCCCTTCTTCCTCCTGCGCTCACGGAGTTCCTCGCTCTGCTCACAGTCTCCGCTTCGTCTGGGTCTCCAGATCGGCCAGGATGGCGCCTCTGGTGAGGTTATGCTCCAGGCCGGGGCGCATCGCAACGCAGGGGAAGAGCATCAACATGAAGGCCTCCAAGGATGCGTTTTTGGGTTGCGGTGTGCATTCTGAATGACTTCAAGTGGATAGAACTGCAGGGGCAATAAAGGTAAAACGTTGTGGCAATCCAGAAATGATGCCGATGTTTTTGAAGTTTGGAGCAACCACGTTGATGAGGCGGCGAACCAAAAAGAAAAGGCAAGGACCATCCGTGACTATCCACCTGGTCAACGGGAACGTAGCACATCATCCCCACCTGCTATGTCAGTTTGGCTAACTTGCATAAGAACCCTCATCCAAAGGCTCATTGGACCCTCAGTTCGGTAGGGTTTTGACCCTCACACCCAGTCCATGAGCCTCTGGGCAAGAAAGAAAATCACAGTTCCCGCCACATGACAACATGTCATGATGACAGGGCCCTTTGGTCTGTCCGACCCCTTGGGGCTGTTTGATCTCCATGTCCCACGGACGGCTGTGCCGGGCCACCGGATGCCAGAGAGTTTTTGTTCGTTGTTTCTCGCGGGAAAACGAAACAAAGACGCAGGCGTTCCATGCGTTTCGTGCTATGCTAGCTACTGTATGCTTGTGCTGTTTGTCCATGTGTCCTCGTTCTTTTTCGAAAAGCAGAAACGATCGAGAACCAAAACCGTCCCGATGGGGGGCAAAGGGCCGCAGGCAAAACACCAAAGGCACCGCCACCGACCTGAGAACACCGAACTCCTCCCTCGCGTCCGGACCTCACCTTGCAGCACTTCATGGCGATTTCCGTTTCACAAGGGCACGGCGAGGCTTCTGGGGGAGAAACTCCCCTAATTGTTTCAGAACGGCTGCGAAGTCAGCATCGCAGCCTCTATACTGCGCTGATCTGTGTCTTTTTTTTTCGGAAGAATGATGTACTATCTGGGTATCCAATGGACCCCCAAGCTACTTCGGGATCTCCATTCGGATGGTCCAGGTATGATCGTGGGGAACCGTGCGTCACCGAGGACTGGTCCCAGCGATCTTTGGCATCGGTGACGGCTCAGCCGTCCTCGTCCCAAGTAGATGGACGAGTGGCAGGGTGGAACTGCCCCTGTTCTTCCCCAGCCCCTTGCTTTCCACAAAAGTCCATTCCGTTTTGCACCGAAGGATGGAACCGCAACTGTTTGTCAAGCCCTCCTACTCCGTGATCCTTTGATTTGCTATCTCGGGCCCCAAGAAGCCAAAATTCATTCTATGGTCGAGGGGTCCAACAACTCAAATGGTCGCTGGACAGAGACGTGCCTGGTCCGACCTCACGTTGTCATCCTCCGTTGGACAGATCGGACCTCCGACCTCCTTGGAGGATGCGGCGTCCACCACATCCAGACCCGGGGCACGAGGTGAACCCCCACCGCGTTATGTTCACGTTATCGGTTCATTGACAATGCACATGATTCCCCCGCGACCACCGTCGTAGGGGGCCAAAGGCCATGACTTTGCCTCCACCTGGAAGTCAGAATCCACCACGAATCGTGGGGGTAAAATGACTCATGACAGTCTGACTGGACTCTCAGCTTGGATATTTATTTAGTCCAATTTACATAACATAGCGATCATGCCGAAGGTGATACCTCAGCTCCTGATTCCCCCAGCACGCTACCCTCAATACCGCGGCACACTTCATATCGAAACACATCGAACGGCGCTGGTGTCCAATCACCCTTTTCCGCTTGGTGCCTTCACGTCTGAACGGGACGCTGGACGCTGGACTTGCGACTTCTCGGGCATGTCCGTTCTCGAGACAGCAGAGAAAAGAGCAGAGAGGTCTGCAAAGAACTTGAGAGACATTCATCATACCTTTACTTCAGAAAGGTGGAGGGTTGAGCATCTAGAACTTATATAGATACAAAGCGCCAAGATCCAAGATTCCGATGTCTGACTGCGCTCGTTGGGTAAATTAAGGCGTCTATCTAAGGGATCACTGTTCTGCGAGTTTTTCGCAGCAGCGTCTGGGAGCCCACTGTTTGGCATCGGTCGTCTAGTGGTGTAGGATTTGCCCCAAAACTACACGTGGCATCTTAAGGCATCTGATTCTCGAACTGTGAACCACGACGAGCAACTCAGTGGGGGAAACCATCATGTCAAACTGCCTGAAAGGTGCCTAAACCCGGAATCCTGATTTTGCCGACCAGCTTGCCAGTTGTTGGTTGTCCATGTTTTTTCTGCCAATGACTTGCCACGGGGTTCAGATTCTTCCCAGGCCATTTCTGGTGGATATGTTTGTGGTAAAAGTTACTGGTCAGTTTGAAGACCTCCAATACAGCAGCCGCTCGAGGTGTCATTCGCCTGAGAAAAGCCAGCCACCAAATGCATTGTCAGACTGGTGGCATCGAACACCGCAGATCTGTTCTGTTTCGGAATCTACTCGAATCTACTTCTTACCTCAGGTTCAATTCACCTGAGGTTTTGGAATTTGGGCCAACAATCCCCCAATTCCATCCGCTAGCGAGGCCCCATGATCCCCCAGACCTTCTTCAGATGATGTTGGTGGCTCTCCTGGCAGTGTTCGAAGTGTTGCAGCCAAGGGCATACGCGAAACACAACGCAAGCACCGATTGAACACGCCAACCCAACGCAAGCGACAGACGCTGTTGTCGTTCGTTGCGGAAACAGGTGGCTCAACTCCGATTCCATGTTTGCCACTTCGATGGTCGTTCTATTTTGGGTGTTCACAACTCACTATCACGCAACTGCTGTAAAGAACCAACATCACCAGAAGCCACAAACAAAGGTCGGTCTTCGGAATGTCGAATTCCGTACCCATCGTTGCCACGCAATGCAAACAGCTGCAAGTTGCCAACCAGCTCAGAAAAAAATGCCCACAACAGGTAGCCCTGCTAGCCAGCAAACCTCTTCCACCGGTCCCCGTGGTCTTGGTTCACGTCCCACACATAGAGGAATCTGTTCATGTTCATTCGTCCACCAGGGTGCCCAGGTGTGTATGGTGTGTGTTTTGACCCACAGCCCTGTGGCGCGCTCCAAACCCAAACAACGCCACGCACCACGTTGAACGCTCCACCGCCGAAACGCCACCAAACCTCGACCTGTTTCAACCCGCCCATCCGGCCATCCGAGCCGTTCCCTGTGACCCGTTCCCTGTGACCAAGAGACCAGCCCACTCCAAAAACATCCAAAAACCGCTTCCTGTTTGGAAACAACACCCAAATTCACCTCAAGTCTCCTACTGGATCACTACAACCAGCACAGCATCGCTTTCCCACGTGGATCGCTTCCCAGTCCCGCCTCGGCGTCGTGCCACGCTTGCAGCGCTTCCACCGGCACCTTCACCGGCAGCGGGTCGTAGCGCCCCGACGCGTCGGCCTCCAACACCGAGGCCTGGAGCACCGCCGGCCGCCGCGTTGGGCGCCACGACGACGTCCAGGGTGTCACTGAGTTGAACGGCCGCGAGTTGGACCGCCGCGAGTGGGAGCACCCCAAACATGTGGACCAATCACAACCAGCCGAAAATCAACCGACCAAGTGTCGAGCCGACCCAACCAGCCGGGCAACCCGAAAGTCTGCACCTGTGCCAGCTTCTCTTGTTCGGGGTCGCTGACCTGGGATGTTCCACGAAGGAGGAAAGCTGTCGAGATCGATGGCTGGGGTAGATCCCAAGTTGCTATGTGGTTTGGTCATGGTGGGGTACCATCGCATCTCCTCTCTCAAAAGTTTGTTGAGCCTTTCTGTAAGTTGTTGACCTGTGGATTTGCACACCCACGCAAAGCTTGAAAGGATGCGACCAAACGCGCCAGGCGGCCCAAATGGCAGAGCGATATTGACACTTCGCGGCCGGGCCCACGTATTGCTGCCAGTAGCAGTCCAGGAGCTCTTGATAAGATACCTCCGGACTCAGTGATGCGAATGGCCAAGCGACCCGAGCTTCTTTGGATGTACTTCGATCTGACTGCCTGAAGCATCCTTTGTAACACTTATTTCTGGCGAACCATGGTTTGGAGCACTTATTGGAAGTTTGAGCGTTAATTGAGGGTATGCACACTTTTCAGGACATATGAGCGCTTTTTAGTGTTGTAAATTCTAAAGCCTACTGGTTCCTGACCAGTGTCCTTATCAACCCTTGTGGGCCTTTGGGGGCCCTATGGACCGGGTGGAAATCCTATATGACTCCTAGTATGTGCAAATGAAACCACAAAGGTTTGGTTCTAACCTTCTGGGCGTGATTTACAACAATTTTTCCAAAAAGGGTGCCCGCAACTTGGGCGCAAATTCCCGCAACCCGGGCGCAAATTCCCGCAACCCGGGTGCAATTTTAAAAATTAGCGGATTGTTTTTTTAATTGAATCTTTTATGTTGATACTGATGATCAAAGAAAGGGGTTGCTGGCTGCCGCTTCGTAGTGTGTGAGCGTGTGTTGTGTGTGTGCATGGGATGGGTGCCAGCATGTGGCAGGGGAATGGACTTGAAGACCACATAAGGTGGAATGAAGCTACATCTGACTTTCAGTGGTGCGCTTTTTCAAGGCATGAACGCTTTTTTTGATGATGTGCAGTTTTTTTTTCTGTCACTTTTTTCTGCTACGACGGAGGGTTCAGGTGTAGTATAAAAAAACACATGCAAGAAACAAAACAAGCTGCTAGCTGCTGGATATTTCTCAATCAACAAGGTTTCCCCTGCAGGGAAGTGTGGCAAGGCCTTCCAGCCCTCACAGGCACGCGGAGGCTCTCTCGACGCCACGCGAAGCGGCGGGGGGCCTCCTGGGGATCGTACTCCACCCTGACTGCTTCGGTGTGACCATCACCTGCCGGAGCAGCTCCGCTGAGTCTTGTGAACAATCACCGCGGGGAGCAGAGCTGGGGAGGTGTTTTTGGGGTTTGGATGATTTTTGTGGCAAAAAACCATGGTTCCCTACATGGGTTCCCCAGTCCCTAAAACTGAATTTCTTGTATACTCAAACGATCCCAAAGGCAAAAACTCATATGTCCTGTCTGGGACCCCCCAATCTTCATCATGTACATTCCCGCCAAGAGCCTTTTCTGCGGAATTCCTGTTCATGATGCTTAGCCCAAGTCCAACGCATCTTACTACTGTACTACTGTACATATTCCAAGACCATCCATGTAACTATGACATGATTGTCTACACTGACCCCTGAAACCACCCCAGCGTACAGTGGATGGTCTGGAGTCCTCAAGTCAGCACCAAGGGAGCACCACTGCTGTAGGTCAACCATCCAGATTCCACACCATGTCGGGACCGTACCCCGTTCACGTCTTTTCGCCCCTTTCTCGCGACGAAAAAAACCCAACGCGGAACACACGCGGCGGTTTCCACCACGCCTGCGCAGACGGAGCGATAGCTGGGTCGAGGATTGGAGCCGCCGGTGTAGCCCACCCGCGTCTCCGCCACGCCCGGCACATCATCGAAGACCTGTCGGTCGACCGCATCGCCGGCGCCGAGCGCATGAAGGTTGGGCGGTGAGCAGGTTGGAGGAAGGTTGGGTGTGTTCGGGTGCATGTGATCTAGCTGAGAAGGCGAAAAAAAGAGATCAAGAACTCAATCCTGACCTACCTGGGCCAGATGGAGCTCAACCAAAAAATGGAAGAAGCCCTTCAAGGCATCAGATACCACCACAATTTGAGATGGTGGACTATGATTCTATGCATGTCTATTAAGTAGACCTTTTAACCTGGCCCGCACCCCATGGGTCCCCGCAAGTCGCGAGCCCACATCGGACGGAGGAAAGCCATGATCCACACCTTATAAAACCCTGGTCGCAGC